GCGTCAACAACTTTAAATAGGTTTGAATCCTTTAAGCTTTGATGGCAAGCTTATTTGTTGTGAAAATCTGATGATTTGGTCACCGAGAGAGGGGCTGGCTTTCTGTTAAGCCAAAGCTTGCGGGCTTGGCTCAATGAGCAAGGATACCTTTGGAAAACAAGAATGATTCTACCTTTGTTTATGTCGTAAGTTGGGGAGGATCACGGGAGCATCTGTAGGTAGTAGCTATACCGCCATGTATACCTGTGTAGGTCTATGTATTCCTTACGTAGCCTAATCAACTTTCCATTGCTGGTCCTATTTTTTTCCGCCGTGTCAGCGTGAGTGGTCCAAGACTCTTCAACATCAGTGGTCCAAGACTCTTCAACATCAGTGGTCCAAGACTTCAACATATTACCAGCATAAATCACCTATTTGTACTCACCAATTTATGGTTACAGGGGTCGATTCGTAGCTCCTGGCCCCGCCTTTTTGCTGGTCGCTACTAGGTTATAGGAAAGTGGAGGAAATAATAGCTAGAACTGAGTATATGCTACAAATTCTAATCACACAATAGAATGGAAAAGTAATGTGAAGGACCTGAGAGTGGTAATGTCTGAGGATCTCAACTTCAAGGACCATAGCAATGCCACTATCACAACTGCGAGGAAATTGATAGGATGGATAATGAGAACATTCAAGACAACAGATGCCAAGCCAGTGATGATCCTTTTTAAATCACTTGTTCTCTCTAGGCTGGAATACTGCTGTACAGTAACATCTCCATTCAAGGCAGGTGAAATTGCAGATTTAGAGAATGTACAGAGAACCTTTACTGCACGTATAAGTTCCATCAAACACCTTAAGTACTGGGAACGCTTTGAAGTACTTGACTTGTACTCACTGGAGCGCAGGCGAGAGAGATACATCATAATCTACACTTGGAAAATCCTAGAGGGACTGGTCCCTGATCTGCACACAGAAATCACTCCCTATGAGAGCAAAAGACTTGGCAGGCGATGCAACATACCCCCAATGAAAAGTAGGGGTGCTACTGGTACACTAAGAGAAAACACAAGTGTCTGGGGCCCAAGACTGTTCAACAACCTCCCTCCAGCCATAAGGGGAATTACCAGTAGACCCCTGGTTGTCTTCAAGAGGAGCTGGACAGATACCTAAAGTCAGTACCGGATCATCCGGGCTGTGGCTCGTATGTTGGACTACGTGCGGCCGGCAGTAACAGCATCGTTGATCAAGCCCTGATCCACCAGGAGGCCTGGTCATGGATCAGGCCCGCCACTCCCACTTTATCGTACTTCTTCTTAAAGCTATGTATGGACCCTGCCTCCACTACATCACTTCAGATTGTTCCACTTCCTGACAACTGTGACTGTAGAAATAGTATGTGTGTGTGTGAGAGAGAGAGAGAGAGAGAGAGAGAGAGAGAGAGAGAGAGAGAGAGAGAGAGAGAGAGAGAGAGAGAGAGAGAGTGTTAAGTGAGTGTTCTGGTGTTAGAAAGTGACGCTATCACCTCCCACATTGTTGCTCCACAACAAGTTCTCTGAACAAGACGAAGGGTTTCCCCCTCCTCTCTCTGTCTCTCTCTTTACCTAGCTCTACTTCTAGTTTTTGGGCTCTAGCTCCTGGTCTCGCCGTTCTAGAGCAGTGGGCTGCTTAGCATCTACGTTATTTGGTTATGTACTCTGCATTCCATGGATAGTAATCAGTGGAGCGAGGACGATGTACAGGGTGAGTGAAGACAAGACGCAGGGTGAAGACAAGACGCAGGGTGAGTGAAGACAAGACGCAGGGTGAGTGAAGACGAGACGCAGGGTGAGTGAAGACAAGACACAAGGTGAGTGAAAGCAAGACGCAGGGTGAGTGAAGACAAGACGCAGGGTGAGTGAAGACGAGACGCAGGGTGAGTGAAAGCAAGACGCAGGGTGAGTGAAGACGAGACGCAGGGTGAGTGAAGACAAGACGCAGGGTGAGTGAAGACGAGACGCAGGGTGAGTGAAGACGAGACGCAGGGTGAGTGAAGACGAGACGCAGGGTGAGTGAAGACGAGACACAAGGTGAGTGAAAGCAAGACGCAGGGTGAGTGAAAGCAAGACGCAGGGTGAGTGAAAGCAAGACGCAGGGTGAGTGAAGACAAGACGCAGGGTGAGTGAAGACGAGACGGAGGGTGAGTGAAAGCAAGACGCAGGGTGAGTGAAGACAAGACGCAGGGTGAGTGAAGACAAGACGCAGGGTGAGTGAAGACAAGACGCAGGGTGAGTGAAGACGAGACGCAGGGTGAGTGAAGACAAGACGCAGGGTGAGTGAAAGCAAGACGCAGGGTGAGTGAAGACAAGACGCAGGGTGAGTGAAGACGAGACGCAGGGTGAGTGAAGACGAGACGCAGGGTGAGTGAAGACAAGACGCAGGGTGAGTGAAGACAAGACGCAGGGTGAGTGAAGACAAGACGCAGGGTGAGTGAAGACGAGACGCAGGGTGAGTGAAGACAAGACGCAGGGTGAGTGAAGACAAGATACAGGTTACAAGACAAAGCATTACAAATTAAACAGTAAGAGAGTGCACTAAATAGGTAATCTAGGTGTTACACCTGGTACCTATGTTCACCTAGCAGTAATAATTAGGTACTAGGGTGTTCCTCTAACCCAGGATGCCATCCACCTGTTGTGGATGGCATCCTGGGTTAGAGGAACACAAGAACCCAGCAGAACTAAGCCACAGTGCCTGGTTGCTTATTTACCCTGACTTGAGAATTCTCTTGAAAGGAGTTCCTCGATGCCACTGAAGGGCTCTTGATCCTAGGGATTAGAGCTACACTTTCCTCAGATCAAACCTGACTTCTCCCATTCGCCCCAGGCGTTATATGACTCCCTTGTGGAGTGCTGCCCGTGGGGGTGGATGGTGAGTAGTGTTTACCTTCCTGTGAAGGATGTGTTAGTGCTCCTCTACCCAGCTGATCACCCTCTCACCCTCCCCTAAATCACCCCCTCCCCCTCCCATTCCCCTCACACCCCTCTTTAGCATGAGTAAGTGTTTTGTCTTCGTGAGCCTCATTAATCTCTCGTGTAAATAAGACACACTCAGAGTTATGGCATTTGATAGGCAAGACGTTTCGCCCACCAAAGACAGGATCAGTTGACATGCAGATTAAGTTATGAGTGTTTATGAAGGTTGGAGGGAGGTCATGAGACAAGATAATGAGGTCTAGTGTTGAGATGCGACTAGCCCGACCAGTGAGGGGTGTTAGGTGAGGGCAGTATCACGTGTTGGGAGAATAAGCCTCGCTAAAACTTCGAAGATTGCGAATGATCCTGAGTTTTGATTAGTGTTATTAGATGTGGCTTTTATAAACCGCGGATTGCAAACATAATCTGCTGCGAGGGTCACTGTCTTTGATGACCAGTCTTGCCTCTTGGAAGTTCACAAGATGGTTCTCAGTGTTTGTGTGATTTTCTGTTATCGTCGCTTTGGCATGCATTAGTGTGTTGATAAATGGTTCAGAGAACCTACATGTTGATAAATTAGACACACGTGCAACACATGTGTCTGATGTATCGTTAGTATGTTGCCTGACTCTGGTATCCAGGTTTCTGGAGGTTTTATCGACACTTCTTTTGTCACAGCCTCCACAAGGTATGGTATGGATGTAGACAGTAGTCTTCGTCGGCTTCCTTTTCTTAATTAACTAAGTCGTATGTGACACAGGACATGATACTACATAACTCCCTCTTGTATCTGTCCTCCTCACTTTATGTTCAATCAGCCCATGATCGCTTTTGCGAAATCCGTTGTGGTTTTCTTCCACGGCCTACGTAATTTTGTTTTGGTGATTTTAGTAGCTGTGACAAGCATGATATCCCTCCTGGTCTGGATTATTCAGGTTGTGCTGTTCCATAAAATTTGGGATACTGGTCTGTAATTTTTAGCTGGCGCTCTACTGCCTTCTTTAAGGCTTTTGGGATTTCATCTGGGATTTCTTTCTCCTAAAGGATGCTGAGTGTTTGTGGTGGTGGTATTTTGCACTCCTTTATAAATAAGGAATTCTGCATAGTCTCTTGGGATATTACCACATAGTATCCTGGAACACAGTCTCTTGGGACTCAGTCTCTTGGGACACAGTCTCCTGAAATAGTCTTCTGTAACACAGTCTCCTGGAACACAATCTCCTGGAACACAGTCTCTTGGAATACAGTCTCATGGAACACAATCTTCTGGAACAGTCTCCTGGGACAGTCTCCTGGAACACAGTCTTTGGGGACAGAGTCTCCTGGAACACAATCTCAGGGGACACAGTCTCCTGGGACATAGTTTCCTGGGAAGATGTCCTCATATGTCCGTTGATGATCTTACCCTGATGATGATGTGCTTTGAATTAATGATTTACCAGAAGGGATAGAAACTAATTACCATTTATCTGAAATGACAAGTGATTGGTGAAATATATTGCAATGAAATAGGTGAAAGCAACAGTAAGTCAGTGAAGAATGTGGCGTCTAAGGAAATATTGGAAAGAGGGAAAGAGATACTGGAAAAAAAAGAGTAGATATAATAATCACTTACGTGGTCATAAAGGGATAAGATTGGTAAAGATTTCCTCTGGCCGTCAATGGGAAAACCAAGAAGCCGTTACTGTAGACTGCTAGAATCATTCGAGTTTTGTGAGATAAACTCCTTCGTACACATTGATCTACAAATGTAGTCAGAAATAGTTTTTCTATAGCTACATATTTATGTTGGGAAGTTGGGTTAACAATTTGTGTACACTTCGTAAAATACATAATTCCTCGCAGCATATCTGTGCCCAAGTTGATAAAAGTTCGAGCCAGACAGAGTACAGTGTGATGTTGGTATTATTTGTGATACTTTTAAATACAGTGATGGGTTGGTACACTAAGAGTTAAGAGAGAGAGATTTATGGTCCGTTGTGGCAACTCTCGCGTCGTGTTATCGCCTTTGGTGATAAGTAGAGCAGCGGAAGCCGCGTCCTGATATAGTGCTATTGTGATGGTGGTGAGTGCTTGTCGCTGCTCTGTCATCGTCTTCACCTGCGTCTTGAAGCACTTCCTAAGACGTCTCCTTGTCTTGGTTACAGTGACCTCGGTGTTATATTAAACTAGTGTGGGTTCGTAACTAGCGAAGTGGATCGATCTCAGCATTCAGACAAGCAGACCGTACTTGGTGTAGTGGAAGTCGTGTTCCACCTTGAGCTCATAAAAGTTGTATTTAACAGAGATCGAATCATAGCTGCTGTCCCTGGTTTTACTACTGGGGCGTGGCTGGTGTGGTCAGAACCTTACGTCGTTCTTTCATCCACTGTCAAGCGTCTATACCTTCCTCCTGGGGGCAGGAATACAGATTTCTCTCCTTCCGACTTTGAGAATTGCAAGTTCTTCACAGTTTCCCATCCTTCTTACCTTGACAGTCCCAGAGACTGGGAAGACCCACCTCACCTCCAGCGTTCCCAGGCTGCAGGTAACACAAGCAGCCACACACAACCACATGAACTAACCAGACAGAAACTAGAGTACCTTCACCTTGACCAAGGAACACCCTCAACTTGTTTGTGTAGAGCAGTGTAGGATGGCGCAGCGCCAGGAGAGCAGGGATTCTAACCTGTCCTTCAGCGGCGTCCAGGATACCATAGGTGAGACACACCCTGATTATCAAAAGTCAGTGTGATTAATGTATCACAAGCACGCTCCGAATTTCCCCATATATATATATATATATATATATATATATATATATATATATATATATATATATATATATATATATATATTATTATTATTATTATTATTATCATCACACTGGCCGATTCCCACCAAGGCAGGGTGGCCCGAAAAAGAAAAACTTTCACCATCATTCACTCCATCACTGTCTTGCCAGAAGGGTGCTTTACACTACAGTTTTTAAACCAACATTTACACCCCTCCTTCAGAGTGCAGGCACTGTACTTCCCATCTCCAGGACTCAAGTCCGGCCTGCCGGTTTCCCTGAACCCCTTCATAAATGTTACTTTGCTCACACTCCAACAGCACGTCAAGTATTAAAAACTATTTGTCTCCATTCACTCCTATCAAACACGCTCACGCATGCCTGCTGGAAGTCCAAGCCCCTCGCACACAAAACCTCCTTTACCCCCTCCCTCCAACCTTTCCTAGGCCGACCCCTACCCCGCCTTCCTTCCACTACAGACTGATACACTCTTGAAGTCATTCTGTTTCGCTCCATTCTCTCTACATGTCCGAACCACCTCAACAACCCTTCCTCCGCCCTCTGGACAACAGTTTTGGTAATCCCGCACCTCCTCCTAACTTCCAAACTACGAATTCTCTGCATTATATTCACACCACACATTGCCCTCAGACATGACATCTCCACTGCCTCCAGCCTTCTCCTCGCTGCAACATTCATCACCCATGCTTCACACCCATATAAGAGCATTGGTAAAACTATACTCTCATACATTCCCCTCTTTGCCTCCAAGGACAAAGTTCTTTGTCTCCACAGACTCCTAAGTGCACCACTCACCCTTTTCCCCTCATCAATTCTATGATTCACTTCATCTTTCATAGACCCATCCGCTGACACGTCCACTCCCAAATATCTGAATACATTCACCTCCTCCATACTCTCTCCCTCCAATCTGATATCCAATCTTTCATCACCTAATCTTTTTGTTATCCTCATAACCTTACTCTTTCCTGTATTCACCTTTAATTTTCTTCTTTTGCACACCCTACCAAATTCATCCACCAATCTCTGCAACTTCTCTTCAGAATCTCCCAAGAGCACAGTGTCATCAGCAAAGAGCAACTGTGACAACTCCCACTTTGTGTGTGATTCTTTATCTTTTAACTCCACGCCTCTTGCCAAGACCCTCGCATTCACTTCTCTTACAACCCCATCTATAAATATATTAAACAACCACGGTGACATCACACATCCTTGTCTAAGGCCTACTTTTACTGGGAAATAATTTCCCTCTTTCCTACATACTCTAACTTGAGCCTCACTATCCTCGTAAAAACTCTTCACTGCTTTCAGTAACCTACCTCCTACACCATACACCTGCAACATCTGCCACATTGCCCCCCTATCCACCCTGTCATACGCCTTTTCCAAATCCATAAATGCCACAAAGACCTCTTTAGCCTGATCTAAATACTGTTCACTTATATGTTTCACTGTAAACACCTGGTCCACCCACCCCCTTCCTTTCCTAAAGCCTCCTTGTTCATCTGCTATCCTATTCTCCGTCTTACTCTTAATTCTTTCAATAATAACTCTACCATACACTTTACCAGGTACACTCAACAGACTCATCCCCCTATAATTTTTGCACTCTCTTTTATCCCCTTTGCCTTTATACAAAGGAACTATGCATATGCTCTCTGCCAATCCCTAGGTACCTTACCCTCTTCCATACATTTATTAAATAATTGCACCAACCACTCCAAAACTATATCCCCACCTGCTTTTAACATTTCTATCTTTATCCCATCAATCCCCGCTGCCTTACCCCCTTTCATTATATATATATATATATATTATATATATATATATATATATATATATTATATATATATATATATATATATATATATATATAGTGTGTGTGTGTGTGTCGTGCCGAATATGTAAAACTGGTCAATTAGCAAGAACTCATTTAAAATTAAGTCCTTTCTAAAATTTTCTCTTATACGTTTAAAGATATATTTTTTTCATTAATGTTGATGTAAAAATTTTTAATTTTGCACCAAAAGAATCTTAGAAAAGTTACCTAACCTTATTATAACAAGTGTAATTTATTTTAGCCTAACCCAACTAAATATATTTTAGATAAGTTTACAATAATTTAATAATAACAAACACAGTGAAATATATTTTTTTTCGTCAGGTTCAGAATGATTTTGGCGAAATTATTGCATACACAAATTTTAACTTGTCCTATATGGCAAGATGAACGTTGCTATTTAAGCCAAGATCGCAAGTTCTGTCTATTCGGCACGACATATATACTATACATATACATATATATATATATATATAATATATATATATATATATATATATATATATATTATATATATATATATATAATGGAGAGAGAGAGATTGTGTAAAGAGGGTTTGAGTGTGGCTGTGAAAGCATAATATAAAAACTGTTGTGTAAGAGAGACGTCGTGGTGCATACTGCTTCATACTTCTGCCTCACCTAGCCTCTGCCTCACCTTGTCGCTGCCTCACCTAGCCTCTGCCTCACCTTGTCGCTGCCTCACCTAGCCTCTGCCTCACCTTGTCGCTGCCTCACCTAGCCTCTGCCTCACCTTGTCGCTGCCTCACCTAGCCTCTGCCTCACCTTGTCGCTGCCTCACCTAGCCTCTGCCTCACCTTGTCGCTGCCTCACCTAGCCTCTGCCTCACCTTGTCGCTGCCTCACCTAGCCTCTGCCTCACCTTGTCGCTGCCTCACCTAGCCTCTGCCTCACCTTGTCGCTGCCTCACCTAGCCTCTGCCTCACCTTGTCGCTGCCTCACCTAGCCTCTGCCTCACCTAGCCTCTGCCTCACCTAGCCTCAGCCTCACCTTGCCTCTACCTCACCTTGCCTCTGCCTCACCTTGCCTCTGCCTCACCTTGCCTCTGCCTCACCTTGCCTCTGCCTCACCTAGCCTCTGCCTCACCTAGCCTCTGCCTCACCTAGCCTCTGCCTCACCTTGCCTCTGCCTCACCTTGCCTCTGCCTCACCTTGCCTCTGCCTCACCTTGCCTCTGCCTCACCTTGCCTCTGCCTCACCTTGCCTCTGCCTCACCTTGCCTCTGCCTCACCTTGCCTCTGCCTCACCTTGCCTCTGCCTCACCTTGCCTCTGCCTCACCTTGCCTCTGCCTCACCTTGCCTTGCCTCACCTTGCCTGTGCCTCACCTTGCCTGTGCCTCACCTTGCCTGTGCCTCACCTAGCCTCTGCCTCACCTTGCCTCTGCCTCACCTTGCCTCTGCCTCACCTAGCCTCTGCCTCACCTTGCCTCTGCCTCACCTAGCCTCTGCCTCATCTTGCCTCTGCCTCACCTTGCCTCTGCCTCACCTTGCCTCTGCCTCACTAGCCTCTGCCTCACCTGGCCTCTGCTCACCTTGCCTCTGCCTCACCTTGCCTTGCCTCACCTAGCCTCTGCCTCACCTTGCCTCTGCCTCACCTAGCCTCTGCCTCACCTAGCCTCTGCCTCACCTGGCCTCTGCCTCACCTTGCCTCTGCCTCACCTTGCCTCTGCCTCACCTTGCCTTTGCCTCACCTAGCCTCTGCCTCACCTAGCCTCTGCCTCACCTAGCCTCTGCCTCACCTTGCCTCTGCCTCACCTAGCCTCTGCCTCACCTGGCCTCTGCCTCACCTTGCCTCTGCCTCACCTAGCCTCTGCCTCACCTAGCCTCTGCCTCACCTTGCCTCTGCCTCACCTAGCCTCTGCCTCACCTAGCCTCTGCCTCACCTAGCCTCTGCTCACCTAGCCTCTGCCTCACCTTGCCTCTGCCTCACCTTGCCTTTGCCTCACCTAGCCTCTGCCTCACCTAGCCTCTGCCTCACCTAGCCTCTGCCTCACCTTGCCTCTGCCTCACCTTGCCTCTGCCTCACCTTGCCTTTGCCTCACCTAGCCTCTGCCTCACCTAGCCTCTGCCTCACCTAGCCTCTGCCTCACCTAGCCTCTCTCACACTCTCAAACTCCTGTTAACTTCTGTTAATAGATTTTTCACTTTGTATTTTTTTTATTTTGATGCGGTTTTAGATTTAGATTTTGCCGCTGAAGTGGCTAGTTTATTTACCTCTTATTAATCCAGTGGACGGTAGTGGCTAGTTTATTATGCTGTTATGTTTATAGGAAAGCGGTAAATCCCTAGGAGTCATACGTCACCTAGGGATTGGAAGGTGATCAAACTTGATCCAAGGAATGAGATGGAATCTCCTGGGCCTTTAGAGTGTTGACAGAGAGAGTTCACTGTGTGTGTGTGTTTGTATATATATATATATATATATATATAATATATATATATATATATATATATATATATATATCGTGGTTTATCATGTGTTGTTTAGGCTATGTACCTGGTATCATAGTCTCTTCTTGAGGGGGGGGGGGAGAATTTGATGTTGCTGGAAAGTTCTTGAGTCAAGGAATTTGAGGTATCCCTCCTTCCAGTGGATCGAACTTGATTATCTCCTGTTCTCCAGGAACTGTATGTCCCCTACGGGATTACCGCTTCCCAATGAAGTGGTACTACTACTACTACTATTGCTATCACTATTATTATTGTCATTATTATTATTACTTTATAATGATAATAATGAAAATAATGATTAATAATAATGAATATAATAATTATTGATAATGAAAATAATTATTAATAAAATTAATAATAATTAATAATAATACTAATGAGGGTAACTTGATGTCATATACGTGTTTCAGACGCGTTGCTGGCGGACCTTCAGAGCAGCATCACGCCCACCACCTCCGCCCCTACCACACCCCACCCAGCCTACAATGGTGCCGCCCACACGCCCACCCCAGCACATATCAACGCCTACAACGGCCATGACGTGAGTACTCATGACCACCCCTCAGTGAAGGCAGGCTCTATACAAAGTTTTAAGAATGGGTATGACAGGGCCCACGAGGGTAGTAGAGTGTGAATCTGACAGGTTAAGAAGCGGGGCCAAGAGCTGTGATTCGACCCCTGCAACTACAAATATTTCTGACCCAGTTTAACCTAAGCTGTTGTAGTGGGTAGCACTTGTATGCTAGTGGGTAGCACTCTTAAATGGCTGTTTACTCAGTGGATAGCACTCTTAAATGGCTGTTTACTCAGTGGGTAGCACTTGTTTGCTCAGTGGGTAGCACTTGTATGCTAGTGGGTAGCACTCTTAAATGGCTGTTTGCTCAGTGGGTAGCACTCGTAAATGGTTGTTTACTCAGTGGGTAGCACTTTTAAAAAAATGGCTGTATGCTCAGTGGGTAGCACTCTTAAATGGCTGTTTGCTCAGTGGGTAGCACTCGTAAATGGTTGTTTACTCAGTGGGTAGCACTTTTAAATGGCTGTTTGCTCAGTGGGTAGCACTCTTAAATGGCTGTTTACTCAGTGGGTAGCACTTGTTTGCTCAGTGGGTGGCACTCCTTTGCTCAGTGGGTAGCACTTGTTTGCTTAGTGGGTAGCACTTGTTTGCTCAGTGGGTGGCACTCTCCAATGGTTGTGTGCTCAGTGGGTAGCACTTGTTTGCTCAGTGGGTGGCACTTGTTTGCTCAGTGGGTAGCACTTGTTTGCTCAGTGGGTAGCACTAAAAAATGGTTGTTTGCTATGTTTGAGTTTTTGTGTACCTTAGAATATGAGCTGCGTGTGTTTGCCTCCAGTAAACACTACACGTAGGTTCCTTGATTGCGGTGAGAGAGGCTCTTGATCTAAGGAACCGGACCAGCACTCTTTTTGGAACGTGCTGATAATAGTTTTCTTCATTACATGAGACTAAATATAGCTCGATTGGTAGCGCATTCAGTTCGCACACTGAGGCCCGCGGTTTGATCCCCAGTACGGGTGGAAACATTAGGGCCACCTGCTGTCCTTGTTCAACTAGCAGTACAGTAGGTACCTGGGTGTTAGTCGACTGGTGTGAGTCGCATCCTGGGGACAAAATTGACCTGATTTGCGGGAAATGCTCAGCATAACAAGGGGCTTTCTATGTAGTATGTCACTGATGTCAGCTAGGCCTGTGTACCGTGTACAGTTACTTGTAGTAAATTAAGATTATTATCAAATGGTGTTACGTGTCTTTAGTGCATGTCGATGGAAGGAATATGTGACTTGTCTTGACCATGAGACACAGGAAGGAATAGGAAATGTATCTCCACAGGATACAGGAGAAAAATTGTAATGTGTCTTCAACTGACTGGATTAGCCGTGTCTTAAAATCAAACCTGATGTAATAGTGTTGATCCACTTATGTATCTTCATGTGATACGTGGTGTAAGTATCCTCGCACTGGAGAGGAACTGTATACAGTTATACACAACACTGGTGTCCTCCCAGTCCACTGGGACAAACACAGGCATTGTCTTACCTTAAACAAAGCATTGCATTTCTTTTGTCGACCATCTGAAATAGCTAATATAAGCCTTCCCAACGGCTAACGAAACTCTTATAACGACAAACGGAACCTTTCTTACTGTTGACGGAAATGTACCAACGGTTATTGTAGGCTTCTGATAGGCTAGTGAAAACTTTTCACCTCTTCTACGGGGGTGAAGAAAGTCAGTTCAGTACTCGAAGTGTATAAACTCTTGAGTGCACCAGAATTATTCATCGCTTCTTACCATGACAAGCTGCCAACATCCAGCCGCAGATTACCTACAGCCTGGCTGTTACTGTTACTACTGCCGTTACTTCTACTACCACTGCTATTACTACTACTACCGCTATTACTAATACTATCGTTGAGGTAGTAAATTAAGCGCTGCACTGACCAGAGAATGAGTGAGGTAAACAAGGGATCGTAGCTCACTAATAGACAGTCAGAGGCATGTAAACAAGGGATGTCCTGGTGTAAACAAACAACCACGTCCCGTAAACAGTAAGTGATTACTGGTAAACAAGAGGGGCTACCTCCTGAGTGTCTGGACTCTCGGTTACTCCTTAACAACACTTCCCTTCTCCTTGTTCATTCTTTTTATTTTTGTTCTTTTTTTAATTCATTTTCGTCTGTTTTTCTTGTTTTCATTTTATTCTTTTTTTTTCTTTTTTTTTCATTTTCGTTTTCGTTTTCATGTTTTTTTCTTCTTCTGCACAAGTTACTATATAAGACCTTTGTAGAAATTTAAACTTATATACGAACTTTTAACTCTCTCCAGTAGATTTAAGGTCATCTAAATACGAACTTTAAGTCTGCTAAAAAGTCTCTCTCTCTTTCCTCTTACCTTCAGCTGTTTGATACAGTTTTGTGGGTGTTTATTGCTAGATAACAAGGGTGGGCAGGTGTGAGACAACACCTGCTCGTGTGTCTTGTTCAACCCGGTAATCGAACCAGGGAGCCCTTGTGGTTGTCAGTCCAT